CTTCGTCAATTGGTGCTCTTCTCGCGGAGAAGACCCCCGGAGATGTTCGATCAGTGTCGTGCTTTCCTTCCTGCAAGAAGGGTTGGAGCGCAGGCTGTCGCCCTCCACCCTTAAGGTTTACGTCGCGGCCATTGCCGCTTCTCATGAAGCAGTGGAAGGTAAGTCCTTAGGGAAGCACGACCTGGTCATCAGGTTCCTGAGGGGAGCGAGGAGGCTGCATCCGCCTCGTCCTCCCCTCGTACCCTCTTAGTTTTACCCTCCTCGTACCTCTCGGTAGTTTTAAGTGCTCAGCAGAGGCATCCCGTTGAGCCTTTGCAATCGGTAGAGTTAAAGTTCTATCCATGAAGACAGCACTCCTGGTTGCATTGGCCTCCATCAAGAGGGTGGGGGACCTGCACGCATTCTCCGTTGACGAAGCGTGCCTGGAGTTCGGGCCGGCTTACTCTCACGTGATCCTGAGACCCCGGCCTGGATATGTGCCCAAGGTTCCCACCACTCCCTTCCGGGACCAGGTGGTGAACCTGCAAGCGCTGCCCCCGGAGGAGGCAGACCCAGCCTTGGCACTGCTCTGTCCGGTACGTGCTCTCCGCACCTATGTCGACAGAACGCAGTGTTTCAGGACCTCAGACCAGCTCTTTGTCTGTCATGGAGGGAGCCAGAAGGGAAGGGCTCTCTCAAAGCAACGGCTGTCCCACTGTGTGGATGCCATTGCTTTGTCTTACCAGCAGCAAGGCCTTCCGTGCCCCCTTGGTGTGACGGCCCATTCCACTCGGAGTGTGGCCTCCTCTTGGGCTTTAGCGCACGGCGCCTCGCTAACAGACATCTGCAGAGCTGCAGGCTGGGCGACACCCAACACCTTCGCCAGATTCTATAATCTGCGAATTGAGCCGGTATCCTCTCACGTACTCGTTTCGGCCAGTTCTGGATCCGCTCAGGTGTCTTCGCTTGCTCGCCACTCCACTCCCCGGACTGGATAAGTGCGATATTTCCTCAGTTCTTCCATTGAAGCCTTGAGTCCTCCAGCACCGACGATGCGGGCACCACTGCTGTGGCTCTGGATGCTGGCTAGGTGCCTCCATGCGTACGGTTCCCCCTTGGTAACCGTCTCATGTGTATTATCCACTGTAAGCCTCTCTGAGCATGTGTCTTCCCTTGGCAAGCCATCTGCCACCCCTGGAGCTGAAATTAGTAGCCACCTGCGGTTGGTGCTCCAGTGATTCCATATGTGTTCCTATGTGGCCATATGTGTATTCGTAAGTCCTCCCTTCGGTAGGCAGCTGGTAGCATGTCCCCTTCGGGATATGTTCCCAGTGTACCTTGGTAATCCTGTGTCTAAGTCGGATCCCCTAAGGAAAACAGGTAAGGCTCGGGGGTTCAGACTTTCGCAGGGCACTGGAAGACAGCCTGAAGTTGGCGTGATGGCACAGACCCCCAATCTCCGTCACTTCTGACGTAACTCGAAGTGACTACGAAAGGGAACGTCTCGGTTACGTATGTAACCCTCGTTCCCTGAGTAGGGAACGGAGACGTTACGTCTCCCTGCCACTTCTGCTGTATCGCTGGGTAGATGCCGAGTTCAGTCTTGGCTCCTCAGCGAAGACATACTGCGGTTGCGTTCACTTCCTCCTTTTATACTCACGGAGTAGGGCGGAGTACGCTATGCAAATTTCCGCAGCCCCAAGGCATTGCATGCCATTGGCTCGTGTTTAAATACTCGAAGAGGATTGGCTTTCTATGCGAAACCCCCAATCTCCGTCACTTCTGACGTAACGTCTCCGTTCCCTACTCAGGGAACGAGGGTTACATACGTAACCGAGACGTTTTGCACTCACAAAGCATAAAATCTCTATTTTTAAATTAAATGATATATAACTCTATAATGAATAATAACACATATGTTACTAAAATGTATTCGTACAAATTAAACATAGTTTTATCTAAAGAATATATCAATTACATGTATAATTACAAAAACTCCTTCTATGCAAACTAGATGTATGCAATGATAAAGACTATACAAAAAACAAATAGTTTATGAATTAAGTTTATGAATCAGTTTAAGCTGTCATAAACAAAGACCTCTCACATCCGTGAGATGAAGCTTCAGACCCTCACAGAGACGGAGGAGTTACGGGCCAGATGAGCCACTGGGCCACAATTATGTCACAGCGCATGCAATGCTAGTCTACTTTTCAGAGTTTTATTCTAAATTCACATAAAAGCATTATCTAAAAAGTTTCAATTAGATCTTTTAAAATTAAAAGACTGTTTAAAGTTTTTATTAAAGTCCTATCATCTGTTTATCTTACAAGAATTCTGTATGATATAAATGGGTTTGCATAAATTTAACCAAAGGTATTATTTATACTAAAATGTAAGAAAAATTAAAAGCAAAAACTGTGCTTTGGCATCTTAGATCTTATTTATACAAAATAATTCAAACATTATTTTGTCCATGCCACATGAAACAAGTTGTCAAAGTTTGTTTTTGTGGTTTCAAAAGAAATCACACGACTCTACATTGCACTTGGTCTTGACCGAATATTTAATTTACTCATCTTAATTCAAAGCATGATCTTACTTTTTCTACGGTAGCTATATGACCATTTGTACGTATAAGTTATATAATTTTTACTTTTCTTGTATCTCCCAAACTATCCTTATTCATTGTGGAAAGACACAGGTGAAACCCTTCACTGAGAATATACTATCGGTTTTCTACTCAAAATACATGTAGAATTTTCAAATGTTAGCTTTTGTCTGTTGACCACATGAACAGACTTTGTGGAGAGCCGATGATACTATAGCAGAAACATGCCCTTTGACCTCCATTTTGGAGGCTTTTTTGTTAAAGACCCTATATACAGCATCGTCCTTAAAAGGCACGCCGAATGTCTCCCATCTAGCGGTGAAATTGTATTTAGCATTCAAACCCATAGTACTCTCTCTTTTTTAAATGCGTGTTGTGATTACGGTGACCGTTATGTGGCAAGAAGCTGGGACATGTCGTCCAATAGCACTTTTTCAAGTTTAACTATATTCTACCGTTACGCCGCCTATATAATGAATTACACAACATTTACCCTCGTTTTCAATTTGCCGGTCACCCTTCCTTTTAGATTCAATTTTTAAGCTTTATCATGGCAACGAGGATTCCACTACCGTGCAGTGCGGCCTTTTTAATCGCCTCTCACTGACCTCCTTGCGTCCGTTTCAGTCAGCCGGCTCTCAATGAAAACTCGTTGCGGTGGACTAGTGCTTTTTTGTCCCTCTCCGTTATTATAGTTTTTCAAGATGGCGGAACGATACGGAGGCCTCCGTGACTCACCTGTCAGATCGTCAAAGCTAATTTTACACCAATGAGATCATATTTATAGACATTAAAGACATTGAGTTTAGCTAATGAAATACGTTTTAAAAAATATTTAAAGGTGCTCTACTGAGTTTTTAGCGGCCTCTAGCGGTGATGTTTCAGAATGCAACAAGAGCTCTTGTGCTCGTGTGCGTGTGCATGCTCGCTCACGACACCGGCAGCAACACGGACTCACAGAGACTTTCAATGCAACGGCGGCAGCATCACACAACATGCTGGAAACGAATGTAAACTCCCACTGCATTTACAATAATAGGCTACTTTTATCAGCTTGACGTTGAACTAATGCTCTGTGCTCGTACCATGATAATATTAGAATAAACTGCATTTTGCCGACATATGATGTTATATACGTTAGCATAAGGCATTTCACTAACTATCCGTGAGTCTTTCACAGTCAGCAATGTCAACATAGGTGGATGTGTAATATGATAACGAAAATGGTTATTGAACTAAACTGAACAATTTCAGTGAAACAGTAAGACCGTAGGTAGTAATATTAGCCTACTGTACTGAACGTGTCTGGAAATGTGTATAAAAAATATGATAGTAGTGGGATGGGTGACGTTAGTCAGTAGATCTAGCAAATAAAATAAGTTAGCCTACATGCTAAAGCCCCAATTTTTTGTTATCCTGTGGAACATTCATTTGTATTCAGTTCATGTTTCATTTAGTTTACCATGCTATTTCGCTACAGTTTACTAATATTTATTTCAACATATTTCAAAAAATGAAAATTTTCAAACTATAAATAGCCACTGCATTGGTTGAATTTCAGGATTCCGATTCAGAAAATTATGAACCTCTACAAACTGAAAGCAGTGACAGTGGTAGTGGAGAGGGGAGAGGGAGAGGTAGAGCAAGAAGAAGAGGAAGAGGCCGAGGTAGAGGCCGAGGAAGAGCTGGAGCTGTTTCGGAAGAGGACAGACACCGGGTTGCTATGCTGAGTGCTGCCAGGACAGCAGAGATGCAGGTTCGTCAGTCGTACATTATTGTTCAAGAAAAAAATATACAATTTGAAAATTATCAATACACTTGAAATGTGAATGTAGCAATCCTAAACACAGATTCTTGCTTGTTCAATTTCTAGACAACACTGCAACAACTCTCCCAGGAGGAGAGGGATGAACTTTTACAGATGGTGGTAAATCGCATGCCAGGGGTTATTAATTGACATTATGGACCAAAGGCGAGTGACACCTGGAGAAAATATCCAACACAGAGGACAGCCCACATGGTGCACTTGCCTGTCGGCTTAAGCCGACAGATCTGGAAAACAAATGTTGCAGTCAGGATCCTGAGCATTGTCTCAGTAGGAGTGCCCATATGGAACTCTATTGTCTTGATGAGGGCATCCTACGCTTGGCTCGGCAGACCTGGAATGACATCCTGGCACTCAATGACTTGCAGGAACCAGGGTCGGACAACCAAGAGTATCGCTACTCTGCATATCGCCAATTCACCGTCTGGCAACATGGACGACTTGGGACCGGAAACAGGGTGGTAATACCTAGTTGCTGTGTATGGCGTATAAGAGAGAAATACCCTGACCCATTTTCAAACTATGTTGGTTACAAAGAAGCCCCATTTAGGTGAAAAGTAAAGAGATGTTTATTAAAAACAACAATTTCTATTAGAAAGAATTTTATTTTGATAAAATAAAAAATTGTTTTTTGTTTACACATTTTACAATTTGCATGCCTATTATTTATTTGCACAATGGTTACTCTTATAATTGTTTATAAGAACAATTTATAATAATAATAATAAAAAAGGCTACAGTCACAAATACTTCCGGACTTCTCTCTTTTCTTGTACCCAATGGTTAGGTAGTTGAAGTCATGTCCTATATATGAATAGAAAAAAGGGTAAGAATTACAACCAGAATATCCACAAACCATTCCTCTGTCCTGTTTGACAGAGGTCAAACAGGCTAAGGTCAATCATTAGCAAAAAATAAAGTATAAAAAGGTGCCATTTCAACAATAAATTAACATTGAGCTGATACAAATTAATCAAATTAACTAGCAGTGCCATATAATTCATAAGTTATGAGATTAGAAGAAAAATGCATCTTGACATTACAGAATAAAGATTTGTAATCTTGACGACTTTTCTTTTGTTGCATGACTCATAATCAAAATGCTTGTGACCAATCAGATGTGACAGTAGGCACATTGTCCACATACCTGTCCTCGGCAGATCTGTGCCCGGGCCAGTTCAGCTGTTGGTGTTGGCACAAGTCCAGAAAGTAGACCAAGACTCCGTGGGTCATCTTGCCTGAGAATTCTTCTTCTCGGGAGTCCTCCAGTGGATTTCAAACGTTCCAGCAAAAATTTCGCGCTGCAGTTGAGGGATGTAGCTGTAGTTTTTTGCAACTTTTACCGTGTGGACACGATAACGTTTTGACTTTTTGCTGTATATTCTTCTTTGTCTGAAATACAAGAAACATTAGTTGGCAGTAACAACTTATCCATTCAGTGTGGTCGGCTCCCCATTGTCAGTTTTCTTCAGAACAATTCAAATGCAAACGGTAAAATATATATATATATATATATGTATGTATGTATGTATGACTTACGAAAATTCGCCCCTCTGGTTGATTTGTACTGGTAGGTGGTTGTGGTGATTGTAGTCCAGTGCAGCGAGGAGGGTCCTTGCTTCATATACAGGAGGAGTGAAGGCAAACCGCTTGCTAACATACATCAACAGATGATTCTGGAAAGACTCAAGTTCAGAAGTTGACCTGTATGGAAAAGTAAGAAAAAAAACATATTACTTTATATGAAAAATTATGTAGACAACACTATCATGTAAAATGATTATTTTGATTATTTATAATAATAATTATTTATAGTGATGTTATAATATCAGTAAGGGTGTTATTTGAGGTTATATACAAGGGTGTTATGTTTTACCGAAATGTCAGAAATTTTTCTACAGTACATCCTTCAGCCATCGTCTGTTGAGCATGATTTGTGAGAGTGCCTCATGTGCTGCTGAACGGGACAGCATGCATTCTTTAGCACTGCTCACCCCATCCAGTGGCTGATGTAGACATTTTCCAAGTGCCCATTCATGCACACCACAGACATGGTGAAGGACCCCTCGCCACATACCCTAAAATACAATAAGTTTTTAGTTTAATTACAAATGCTGTGTATCAAACATGAACATTCACCACCTACAAGAGCATATTTCACTATAATAGACTGCACATTTCTGCCAAAACTTTATCGGAGGGAAATTCACACAAGCACAGCAAATGTTTTGATATCCATTAGACACTTTACATGCTGAATGAGAGTACCATCCGGACCTGTGTGCAGTGATTACAAACAAAAACCAATTGTTGGCCATTATAATCACCATGAACTCCTCTCGATTGTCCGCCGTCTGGCAACAAAACCAAAAATGATTAACAATGTCCTTCATCCAGACAAGTATGGCTGACAAATAAAAACAAACACATAGACACAATCACACAATAACTGGTACTATTCTGATATCAACATGACTGTATTTGTATTGTCTTCCCCACTACAGTACTCCTCATTTTACTTGAGATACAATGGTATTGTATTGTCTGTAATCTCATAAATTTTATAAAAGTAAACATTGAAATAATCATATAAAGCAGCAGTCTTAGTAAATAATTTACTAAGAATAAAATTGATAAATATATACTCACTCAAAAGTGCTGAAATCTGCATATGTGCATCTGTGACAATCTCTGTTATGTTTAGTTCTCCAAGAAGCTGGTCAAATGTCTGTATAAAGGCATGCCTTTCCATGACCACACTGTTCAGGTTGGTTAGTCGTTTGTCAACTGTAACTACACTAATTATGTCCTTGGAGTCATGCTCCATGGTAGTGTAGGTGCAATATTGGGCGGAGTAACCTATAGAAAAAAATATGTCATAATACTCTAAAGTATACAGGTGAATAATCTGTTTAGTGAACACACATTACAGAGAAATTCAATGACTAACCTGGGGAGTCCATCCTTCCATCAGCTGAAACATATAAATAGTATTTAATGTTATTTTTGATAATACAATGTGCATTATCTAACCTGTTAGGTGAAAGGGGTTATACAATATGCAAGATAACAGAAAGTAATACATATTACAATTCAGTTACCTACTAACCTAGAGCTACAACACTTTCCTTTGTTCTCAAGCGGTCAATTATCAAAGTCATCTTGTGCTCCCAAAAATGTTTTTTAGCATCCACACAGTACGTGTCCTGCAACGCGTAGAATGTTGAGGGTGCCACCATTCCCATATTCATAAATCGGAAAAGGAGGGCAACCTTTGAGAAGTTATTTCCAG